CACACACACACACACACACACACACACACACACACGCACCCGTGCACGCACGCACACACACGCCTGCATCCTCACCCACATCCCCGCACACACGCACACGCCGCCCGCACACACACACACACACACACGGGGTGTCCATGGCTGAGTGGGTGTGTAGAGTGGTTTTTATGACTGTGAGATTAGTTTCTCAGACTTACTGCGGTTCAAGGTTTTGACAAACAGTCTGCTAGGATTGCATGGTCGGTGCGAGAAAAAGTCGACCACTTTTCTCAGGGTATCGCTAACTCTCGGCGACGTGGCGAGTCCTTATCCATCAGTCAAATGCATCCTTGGCAGACTGTCGGGGTTCAACCTCCTGATGAGTCGGCGAAAGTCCGACGAAACAGTCTGGCACAGTCATGCTTTTTTTTTCAAGTATATAGCGCATTGTCAACACCTGCACTCACACACACACATGCACACACGGGCTTGCGCAGTCATGCTCTTTTGTGTTGTGTATAACAAACACCACAACACATGCACAGAGAGTTTTTTTTTTTTTAAACAACACAGTACGAAAACAGGCTATAGCACACACATGGTATTTTTGTGGAGTGGTGCATAGCGAAGACAGCAAACAGACAACACAGCCTTGCTAAGCGCTCTGTTAAGGAGGATTGATGTGGCTAGGGGCGGGACTGCATTGGCGTTGTAAACAAATACAAAGCGTAGGTTGCTTTCTATTGGAATACAAGGCATATGCATTCTATTCTAACAGCCCTAATATTCGAATACAACGCAATCATCGCTGTTTTCCGGAAATTTGAATACAGCGCATATGTGTTGTGTTTGCGGGAAGACAGTAGTGGTCGTATCCCTGGCTGAGTGGGGGCTCAGCTCTCCTCATGAAAGTTCGGAGAAGCTATCTCAAACAGTTCATTCTTTGCTCGGTGAATTGTGTACACACACACACGTGTTAGTCCGATGAAACAGTCTGGCACAGTCAATCATCTCTGGAGTGTATAGTGAATATGACAACACACACAAAACACACCGCACAAGGTACAAGGTACAAGGGATGGCTGTTCCAATTTTTTTATTTATGCATTCGGGAAGATTTTCGGGGTTCAGCCTCCTAATGAAAGTTTGGTCAAACAGTCTGGCACAGTCGTTTTTGGAGTTGTGTAAGTGATCATAACGGCACACACACACACACACACACGCACACACACTCACACACACACACACACACACACACACACACACACACACACACACACACACACACACACACACACGCACGCACGCACGCAC